GGTGGAAATCCTGCTGGAACAAGGAGACGTGAGGTCTCAGCTGACCTGCCAGATCCAACACAGATTGTTGATGGTCCTCTCCAGCAGTCCTTCCCACTCAGTGATGTCCTAAGAGGTAGGAGAGTTCTGGGTTGCAGAGAGGGACCAGGCCATGGAGTCTGGACCTAGTTTAGAAAGACCTTCTGCCTCTGGCTGTTTCCCCATAGACTTGGATCCAGTTGAGTAGAGTTCCCAGCTAATTAGCTATATTTTAATCCTGATTGTTCTGGAATTGTTTCACTTTGTTTTACCGGTTTGCGCTGTTTTGCCTTTGGATCTTTCCTCAGGGGAAAAAAGGAGTCTTTGAGTTAGGGGGCCAAATATATGTCATAGAATAGAATAGAATGGAGAATAAAGTAGAGTAGAATAGAATAGAATAGAATAGAATAGAATAGAATAGAATAGAATAGAATAGAATAGAATAGAATAGAATAGATTGTAGAATAAAGTAGAGTAGAGTAGAGTAGAGTAGAGAAGAGTAGAGAAGAGTAGAGAAGAGTAGAGAAGAGTAGAATAGATTGTAGAATAGAGTAGAGTAGAATAGAATAGAATAGATCGTAGAATAAAGTAGAGTAGAGTAGAGTAGAATGGAATAGAATAGAGTACAGTATAGAGTAGAGTAGAGTAGAGTAGAGTAGAGTAGAGTAGAGTAGAGTAGAGTAGAGTAGAGTAGAGTAGAGTAGAGTAGAATAGAATAGAATAGAATAGAACAGGCTAGGCTAGGCTAGGCTAGGCTAGGCTAGGCTGAGTAGGGTAGGGTAGAACATAATAGAGCTGGAAGGGACCTTGGAGATTGTCTAGTCCAGCCCCCTGCTCAAGCAGGAGAACCTATACTATCTCAGACAGGTGATTGTCTAGCCTCTTCTTAAAAATTTCCAGTGATGGAGCTCCCACAATTTCTGGAGGCCAGCTGTTCCACTGGTTGATTGTCCTCACTGTCAGGAAGTTTCTCCTTAAAAAGGTGGATGAGAAGCTGGCATTTAAAGATAGGGCAGAATAGAAACCTAACAAACACACGTGAAATGAAGAAACGATAACACAGAGTTGCTGGGGATTGGGCGGAGTTTCTTTTTTAATTTCTTTGCTGGTAGTGTTAAGTTTTTATCTTGGGCTTCCTGCAAATCAGGCTCAGCATTTTTCACAGCACGGTTGCGTTCATAGAACCTTCTCGTTTCCCCAATGCCACAATCAGCGAGCAGAATCCATTGGTCTTCTAGGCTCTTCTGAATGCAGGACCCGTGAGTCTGACGCTCCCCTAACTGATCTCTTTGGCTTTCTTTGCTCAGTTCCTCCCAAAGTCCGTCTGGAGACCAGCCCACCTTCCCCCATCCAGCTGAACACCACTGTGATGGTCACTTGCAGCGTGGAAGAATTTTATCCGGATGATGCAAACTTGGAATTGTTTATCAACAATGCCCCAAACAGAAAAGGAACGGTTGGCCCGAAGACACCGAATCCCGATGGGACCTTTTCCCTGAAGACCTACCTGGAGGTGGTGGCCATGGAAGACAGGAACAACTCACAGTTCAGTTGCGTGGTTCAACAGAAATCCCAAAGTCTGCTCACTCTAACAATAAAACTTGCTGTTGTCATGCAACCTGAAGATCACAAATGCTTGGGCAGTGCTCCGTCAAGTGAGTCCTTCTGAAATCCTTCAGAATTTTTCTTCTGAGGATTTGCTGACACACAACCTGCAGGTTTTCCCTTTCTTACTTTTTCTTGCACTGTATGAAATTAGCCATCGATATTTCTGCTTCTGAAACAGAGCAACAGAATAACACAATTGGAAGGGACCCAGAGAGAGAACTGGCTTCGGGGAAAGGCACGCAGGTCTCTGTAATTGGTAGGTGGCCCACCCATTTGCTTTTTGGGGGGTGGGGGGAGATGTTCCCAGTCAACCGAGAGACATGTGGGAGTAAATCTCATGTTCTGAAGTTGAGTCTCTCCAACCAAACACAGCCTTGTAGCTTCCTGTATTATCTCTGAGGAACGTCAACTGATATCTCTCTCTACTTTCTCCCTCAGCCATGCCATCCCAGCCTGTGGTGCGTGGGCCCACAAGAAGAGTCATGGCAGGGTCTTGGGCTGCCTTCAACTGCTCCACAGAGGGATTCTCTCCCCGAGAGATCACAGTCAGCTGGTTGAAGGACGGGAAAGAAATACAGGCTGCCCAGACCAACATCCTGAATTCGGATGGAACAGAAAACAACTCGTACCGAGTAGAGAGCACGGTGGAAATCCTGCTGGAACAAGGAGACGTGAGGTCTCAGCTGACCTGCCAGATCCAACACAGATCATTGGAGGCTCCCCTCCAGCAGTCCTTCTCACTTGGTGATGTCCTAAGAGGTAGGAGAGTTCTGGGTTGCAGAGAGGGACCAGGCCATGGAGTCTGGACCTGGTTTAGAAAGACCTTCTGCCTCTGGCTGTTTCCCCAGAGACTTGGATCCAGTTGAGTAGAATGCCCAACTGATCAGCTATATTTTACTCCTGATTGTTCTGGAATTGTTTCACTTTGTTTTAGCAGTTTGTGCTGTTCTGCTCAGGGGGCAAAAGGAATCTCATTATTTGAGTTAGGGGCCCAAATATATAGAATAGAATAGAATAGAATAGAATAGAATAGAATAGAATAGAATAGAATAGAATAGAAGGGACCTTGGAGGTCTTCTAGTCCAGCCCCCTATTCAAGCAAGAGAACCGGGTTTGGAAGCATCCCTGCTTCAGACAGGAAGGCGGTGCCGAGAGTGGTGAGGACAGCAGAAAAGATCATTGGCAGTTCCCTCCCTCCCATCCAGGATATGGCACAGAAGGGTTGCTTGAGCAGGGTCAGCAAGATTGTCTGGCACACTACACACCCTCTCCACAACCTGTTTTCCTTCTTACCTTCTGGGAGGGGGGGGCTCCATGGTACCCAAAGCAGAACATCCAGATTTAGTCACAGTTTTGTTCCATACAGCATTAACCTTTTGAACTCTCAAGCTTCCTCCTTCCGTTATGTATTCAAGATGGACAGTGTTTAGTATTTATTTGTTATGTAGGGGTATGGGTCTATATGTATGTTGTATATAGTATGTTTAGGTGTGTGTCATGTATGTGTTTCACTTTGAGAGCGGGCAAATAAATTTCATTTTTGATGTGTGCCGTTGTGCTCACAGTAAAAAAATGAAATAAAGGTTATCTTATCTTATCTTATCTAACCCTTGCTCTGTGGTGAGTTGGCCATAGTGAGTTGACCACAGCAAGTTTGCCGTGGCGAGTTGTCCTAATAGGTCCCGGCATCTTCTGTTTGGGATGTTGATGCTGAAGTCCGTGTTGGATCCTGGGACCAGCCTCACACCCCGGTTGGAAACTCCTTGCTTATCGCTGTAAATGGGGGGCTGGTTTCTGTCCAGCCCTTTGAACCACCGCATGCCTCCGGGTAAATTTGCCCCATCAATGTACACTTTAGAGTGAGGCTGTCTCCAACTTTCACTGGTATGATTTCCGGAAGTTGTGTTACCTCCATTTTCTGTCCTGTAACAACTGAAACAAAAAGAGACACTTTTGTGACTAGGTATCCTCTAGAAAATGATCACCACTCTTCGGCAGACAGAGGACCACTGGTGATGCTCTTTCTACATCTACAGTCCCTTACACCAATATCCCAATCCAGGAAGGAGAAATTAACAGTAAACAACAGTGTAATCTAGGCACCACCAAGAACACTCCTACTAACATTAACAGTCACTTGTATATAAACAAAAAGCAAACCACTCTCTTCTAGCACTGATCATGTTACTTAGTTGGGTAATAAAATGTCTGCAAGAACACCAAGCTCAGTGACCACCAAGGACCCTACAGTCCTCCTCATCCTCTTCCTCCTCCTTCTCCTCCTCCTCTTCCTCCCCGTCCACTCCACAAACCCCACTCCCTTCTTGCACTGATGATGTTACCTAGTTGGGTCATGAAACATCTGCAAGAAAACCACCAAGCTCAGAGAGTAGCAAGGACCCCACAGTTCTCCTCCTCCTCCTCCTTCTCCTCCTCCTCCTCCTCCTCCTCCTCCTCTCCATAAACCTCACTTCCTTCTAGCACTGATAATGTAACCTACTTGGGTAATAAAACATCTGCAAGAAAAAAACCAAGTTCAAACTTGAAGTACAAATATTCTCTTTTATAGGGACCAGTGTTTCATCTCGGCTGTTGAAAAGGTTTTGGTGCTCTTTGGGGAAAAAAAATAAAGGTCAGTATTTAATATTCAGGCTATCTTACAACCTGAGAATTCTCTCTCAAAAGAGAGGAGCAGGTCTGTCAACGTTACTAACATCGGACGTTCTTGCTTTGGCAACAGATGGAAATGCAGCCATTTTTCTCTATTGCTTTTAGAGTTCGTTGATGCTGGGAGGGGGAATGTGGATGAGAGTCCAGCTAGTCATAACAATAATAACTCAGCTGTGGGAACCCAAGGACATTGGGCCCAGAGCTGATAGAGTTTTGGCGGGCTGGAGTGCTGGGGAGAAAGTCTGCTCTTCAAGCTAATTGGGGAATGTGATTTATGAGTGTTAATTGGAGGAGGGAATTGTGCTTTGTTACTTTGTGCCCACGGGAGGGGAATTCAGTTTTTGGCTTCAACTATGTAGTGCCGATACTTTGTTTCTCAAATAAAAGATTCTTTTAGGTAAACAATGCCTCGAAGTTCTTTGGAAGAGTTTCATCTGTCGGAACCATGACATAAACCCCAAAAGCAAGCTAGTTTCTGCCTGCTATGAATTGTTGGATCGGCTTCTAGTTGGCAGCGTCTCATGCTTTCTGCCTTTTGAGCCACCAAAGATTTCATAAAGTTTCATATTTGATGTTCTCTTTTTTGTTCCCTTTTTTCCCTGGGTGGGGAAGCCACTTTGTTGACTGCAAAATACTGCAAACAAATACTCCAAAAAATACTGCAACAAATTTGGGTCACCATATCACAAAAAAGATGTTGAGACTTTGGAAACAATTCAGAGAAGAGCAACTAAGATGATCCAAGGCCTGGACATAAAGCATACGAAGAATGGCTGCGGGACCTGGGTTTGGCTAGTCTAAAGAAAAGAAGAAATAGGGGAGACATGATAGCAGCGTTCCAGTATCTGAGGGGCTGCCACAAAGAAGAGGGGGGCAGGGTGTTCACCAGAGCACCAGAGGGAAGGACGAGAAACAATGGTTGGAAACTGACCAAAGAGAGAAGCAACCTGGAACTAAGGAGAAACTTCCTGACAGTGAGGACAATCAACCGGTGGAACAGCTTGCCACCAGAAATTGTGGGCGCTCCATCACTGGAGATTTTTAAGAAGAGACTGGACATTCACCTGTCTGAGATGGTATAGGTCCTCCATCTTGAGCAGGTGGCTGGACTAGAAGACCTCCAAGGTCCCTTCCAATGCTAGGGTTCCGTATGTTCTGCATGTCTGTATATCAACTAAAGTAAAAAGGTTATCTGAGGTCAGATTTTCCTGACAGAACTATTAGTCAATGGAACAGCTTGCCTCCTGGAGTTGTGAGTGCTCCATCGCTGGAGGTTTTCAAGAAAAAAAAATTGATCAACCATTTTTTTGAGATGGTGTAAGGATTCTTGCCTTGAAGAGAGGTTTAAATTGAAAGAGGGAGCAAATAGGCCATCTAGGTCAAAAATGAGCAGCCCTCTCTCAACAGAGCGGGAGGGATACGGCATCATCTATCTCCAGTCTACCCCACAGTCCTTTCAGCAGTTCCAGGAAGGCTCCACACCCATTTGCACCACACAGGTGACCCTGAGGACACAGGTAAACCTCCAAGTGGCCTCAACAACTCTCTAAAACAGGGGTCTTCAAACTTGGCCTTTCATGACTTGTGGACTTCGACTCCCAGAATTCCTCAGCCAGACACGCTGGCTGAGGAATTCTGGGAGTTGAAGTCCACAAGTCATAAAAGGGTCAAGTTTGAAGACCCCTACTCTAAAAGAAGGCAAATGACCAGCTGTCTACAAGGACTATAAATCCTTCATCCTCCACCATCCAGTCAGAACCTGAAGAAGCTTCTTGGATGAGAAGCAAAGAAGTTTTCAAAGAAAAACAAAGAACGTCCAGATGCCTCCTGAAAAAGCACCTTTGGGATAACTATGATCTGGATGACTGAGAATCTCTATAGACAATGAAAGAAATCTCCTCCTCCCCAAATCTAACATCTGGAACTGGCCTTTACTGGGAAATCTTCTCATCTCCTTGTTCAGAATAGCACAATAGCTTTGAAGCAGCCTTAACATTCATCTTGCACTGGATTTTACTCCTGTTGTAAATCTGAGAATGGAGTCTGCCTGATCTCAACGGTGAATGCTCCAACACTGGACGTTTTTAAGAAGAGACTGGACAGCCATTTGTCTGAAATGGTGTAGGGTTCCTGCCTGAGCAGGGGGTTGGACTAGATGATCTCCAAGGTCCCTTCCAACTTTATTATTATTATTATTATTATTATTATTATTATTATTATTATTATTATTATTATTATTATTATTATTATTGTTATTGTTGTTGTTGTTGTTGTTGTTGTTTTGTTGTTGTTGTTTGTTGTTGTTGTTGTTGTTGTTGTTGTTATTGTTATTATTATTATTATTATTATTATTATTATTATTATTATTATAAAGAGC